AACATTGTTTATTGTTTTGAAAAAAGAATTTATTTCTGCACCAATTTAATATCACATCGACTTTTTTAAAGCATTCTTTATGGAAACAAATGCATCAGACTTTGCCTATAGTGTATTATTGTCATAAATTAGAATAGATGACAAATTCCATCTAGTAGCTTTTTATTTTAGGAAATTTTGAACAGTCGAGATTAATTATGAGATTCACAACAAAAAACTTGTTGGAAGTATAAATTCATTTTAAGAATGGCATCATTATTTAAAATGCGCTTTAAATCTAATCATAGTATATACAGATCACAAGAACCTCGAGTATTTTATGTTGGCATGTATTTTGAATTGTTGCCAAGCTTCTAGGAGCATGTCATTATCAAGATTTGATTTCAAGATCATATATTGATTTAAAAAATAATAAGGTTTATCACATACTCTTTTTAGACACACTTATCTTGAACCAAAAGAAGGAGACTTATCTTTTGATTAACAAAGAACAATCTTCTTCAAGCCAAAACATTTTCATCTTTGAGCAATAAAATCAACATTAACTATTGATTTGACCTTTGTTAAACAAATTCAATTAAGTATGTCCTATGATCTTCTTATTCATGATATGAAGAATCTTTCTTCTAAGTCTCATGATATTTCAAAGTTTGAGTTTAAAAACAACCTACTCTATTTCAAAGGATGCTGATATATTCCAAAAGGAAAAGCACATTTACATATTCTTTGAGCATGTCACGACTTTCCAACAATAAGACATTTTAGATACAACAAGACTTTAGAACTTATATTTAGAGATTTTTGGTGGCTACAAATGTGGAAGGCAGTAAAAGACTTTGTATACTCATGTGACATTTGTTCAAGATTAAAAACTCCTCATCATCAATCTTATAGACTTTTCCAATTATTACTTATATCCAAACAACCATGGTCTTCTATTTCTATTAATTTTATTATAAATCTTTTAAGCTTAAGTTCATATGACTTTATATTTATAATTGTAGATTACTTGACCAAAATGGCATATTTTATACTATATATAAAATCTATTTTAGGTAAAGAACTAGCTAAGTTTTTTATTGATAATATCTATCACTATCATGGATTACCAAAGGATATTATATCAGATAGAAGGACTCAATTTGTATCAATATTTTGAAGAATCTTATTTAAGATTCTAAAGATGGATATAAAGTTCACTTCAACTTTTCATCCTCAAATTGATGGACAAATAAAATGGATGAATAAAATTCTAGAGCAGTATTTGAGATATATGATTAATTATCATCAAGATGATTGGACATCTCTTTTGCCATAAGCAAAGTTTACATACAATAATTCAATATATTCTACTATTCAATAAATATCTTCTTTTACCAATTATGGTTATCATCTACGACTTGATACTTTTGACTTTTCAAAAGATAATAATCCTATAGTAAAAGATTTTATAAATTATTTGTGAGAACTACATACAACAATGAAGACATAATTAAAGAAAGATCAAGAATGACAAAAGATCTATATGGATGCCTATTATAAGGAATAATCACAATTCAGTGTGGATGAGAAGGTATGGTTACTTTGTTGCAATATCAAGACTACTCATCCTTCTCATAAGTCGACTATCATAAGATGGAATATTTTTTTTTTTTATAAATAAATCAATCTTTTTGCTTATCGATTACATCTAGTGGAGTCTATGAAGATCTACCTTATATTTTACATATCTCTTCTTAAACCATATAAGATAGTGAATATCTCGGGAATAAAACAAATGTCACCTCCTTCTATAGAAATGGATAATAATCAAGAATTTGAGGTAGAAGAAGTCTTACATTTAAAGAAGCACCAATATAGGTTGGAATATCTTGTTCAATGGCGTAGATTTGATATTAGCAAATGTTGTCATATTATGTGTTATCTTGCTTGAGAATGCATCGGGCACCTAGCTGTAGGAGGTGAGATTATGTTTCATAAACATCCAAAAAATTCTAATAGGTTTCATCTATATGAGAAGAATATAATCCAAATTCTGATTCAAAAGTACTAAAAAACCACTCTCTTGAGTAGCCTTAATCACACATAAACCTCAATTATCTTGTTACTTTCATATTTAAGCAATTTAGATTTTTCTTGTAAGCCTCAATTCTAATCAATGAGCTTTGATATGCTGTAACTTTTAATCTGACTGTCCACTCAATATGAAATTTTTCATGCAATTGTCAATGTAAGTCTTCTATATGCTCAAGAATTTTCAGCCCAATCTAACTTACAAATTATGAAAAAACCTCCAAAAATTACACTAATGTCACTCGGCCACCAACTTGAAAGATGAAGCAAAAATTCCAGCAGTGATTTCTTCTTCTCCAATTATTAACTTCAACTCAAAATCAGTGTACATCTTGATCTTTAAGTTTTTCAATACTATGCCAAATTTCACCATAATCTGATTGATAGATCTCTGGATATCACAAAAATCCTACCCAACTTCAAACTACCAATTTTCGATATGTTCTTATACTAAAACCTAGATATCTTTCAATTGCACCATTGAATTACCACAAAAAAAATTCCAAACATTTAAAACACCTAATTATTCAAGCATTGTTAAAATTTGAACTATAAATGTGTCACCAATTTTATGAACTAGTAGAGAGTGCTAGCCCTAATTTCATTATATAAATCCCAAGTTGCCGATACAAACCTTGATTTCCAACAACAATTGCTAATTCTTTCCAAATTCTAGCAAAATCAACCTTATGTGTCTCAAAAAAGTTCTAACCTAGCTCTCAAATTCTAATCTTTGATCTTCAAATGAATCCCTATTTTGCCTTAAGCAGTCGTTTTAATGGCTAGAGGTTTGATTTCGACCCTGTCTCACAAATGGTCCACCTCCGAGTAACAATCTAACCTATCCTAAGGATGTTTTAGTCCAATCCTACCCTCAACTTAATCTTAGTATCAACTAAATTAATTATTTATCTCTTTGAATCTAATTTTATCAATTTATGGTCTTTCTAAGGTAGTAAAAGAGTCTCTACAACTAGAAGATAAAATTACTAATTAACCTTCAACTTACTAACTATTAAGATAAAAAAATAATCTAAGAGACTTTTATAAAAGCTATATTTAGATACCTTGAATTATTATTGAATTAAGATAATTAAATATTAATTAAAAATTTAATTTTGATTATAGTTTTAATTTATAGTCGTATTACATCACGACAATGCACGTGGGAGCCATCAAAGAATCTTACAAATGCAACAAAGAAGATTGAGGCCTATTATGCATGACATCCATCAAAACAAAGATAAAGAATTGCAAAGATCCATAAAAGATGATGACTACTCATCATAGAACTCATATAAGGTAATATCACAAATATATACATTTATTCCGATAGTTACTTATATGATTAGATAGAAGTAGGTAAATATAGATTAATTTCATAAAGTCTTCTACAAAAGCTTCCTTGAAGCTTTATAGATGAAGTTTTAACTTTAGATGTATTTGTAGGTTAAAAACTTGGTACAAGGAGGTATGGTTGCAATGGCTTAAAGAACCATGTTTACTCAACAACATACCTAAAACATCAATGTTTTATATAGTCAATTATGATGGACACAATGACAGTTCAAAGATTCACATGAGCCTTATAACACTAAGAGTAAGTATTTGCAAGCTTGTAGCATGTACAATTGACAAGGTTCAATCTTGTCAACGGCTTCACAATCTTGGCGTGGGAAATAGAAAGTTACACACAACCTGCTGGACAACGTCGTCAGCTACTTCTGCATTCACTGCTAGTGTGAGCCTTGCGCTGTTGCCCATGTATGCACCACATTTACACCACATTGTAAAGATAGAAATTATAGAGTAGTTCGATGTCAGTAGATTGAATAAATCAGTTCATTGTTAATATTCTCTGAAACATGTGGCTTTGTATAGAAGTTCCAACATACTTTGGTTTGGCTTGATGTCAACAGCTTCATTCCTTGCTGACACGCGAATGCAGATTGCAGTCGTAGTATTCTCCATTAGAAAATTTTCTTTGCCAAGCATTCACAACTGGTGGATAATGCTTCTCTGCTTTAGATTTGCTACCATTGACCTTACAGTAAGGTTTGGAGTTCCCTAGAACCGTCACCAGTAATTTGTCGTTCGGTACTGCGAGAGTGTTCACGGATGTTATCTATCAAACCCTTTTATATAAAATGAAGTGGAAAAGGTGCTATCGAGTGAGGTATCGTTTTTCTCACTACATCAAGCTGCCATAGCCGTATGTTATCCACTCACCTCAAGACAATGGTTTGAGCAAAATATAAGATAGAAGTTCTTATCCGTCCCCTACTCTTTAGAATGCTCAAATTCGACTTAAATGTATCCCCTCCTGATTCAAAAGATTTTGCTCTAATCTTGTCGATTTCTTGGATTCATTAATCAAATTCTGCAATATCGACAAGAATATGCTTGGTCAAGCCGACTATTCTCCCCTATCTGTTCTTCTGCAACGTAAGCATTGAGTATCAGAGAAGGTTGAAGCGCATGCATGCATGGATGCTCGAACATAAGATTGATGCAGAATTTGAAAGACGGATCGAGCGCGATGAGTTGGATGTGCAAGCAGCATCCGTTGAAGAGCTTCGGCAGTAAGCTTCGACCTCACAAAGCCACAACATCCTAAGCAAGCTGGATTCCATCCCGTTCGATAAATCGTTGCAGAATAGTATGATACACATTAATTACGGATAATCGGTGTAGCTCTAGTAGAATAGGATAATAGGATAAAAGTCACACAAGAGTAAAGTTTTAAGGTCACAAGCTCAAAAGAAACAAAATGTGTGACATGGCTTTGTTAATACTAATTAGAAGTATGTGTGACCTGTGTTGATGAGTTATTAAGGTTAAGAAATCAAGGTGAGGTCATTATACAAAATGGCTTTTTGGAATAACTTTAAAACACTTGGCACACACATTTTTAATAAGCATAGATGTACTTAATACATGCAAAGCAAAGAAAAAACTGATAAGTACTGGAGAAGGAAGTTTTGCTTTCATAGGTGGCTTGTTCTCTTTTTGGGAGCTACAGAGAAACACGCTAGAACATGTGATATATACAAAGAGAACATGTGTAAAGCTACATGTCTGTGTGTAATCCCATTACTCTAGTGGCTTCGTTGTGAGGTGGCCACCTTCATACACGCGACGTTTGCTCAGCTACTTCTAGATGCACTGATTGTGAATCTCTTGATGAAGAGCCTTCGAGTCAAATCGTATGTCGAAAGTGGTAGGTGTCTGTGAGTGTGCGTGCGTATGTGACATCATCGGTGTTGTGTTCCTACACATCGAGTGAGGATTCCACGTGCCAGGTTTTGCAACTAAGAGTGCAACCAGGAGTTGGGTTAGTTCTTTGGCGCCGTCGGACGACGTAATTGTGGGGGCGATCCAAAGCCCACATGGTCCAATGTTGAAATATCTGATCACACAGTTCCAGTTATGATCCTCGTTACAGGATATGCAAGTTCGAGTACATACCTATAGCGTTGCACCATATCAGGTCGGATATGGAAGTAGAACCGGTGCAAGTGTTCGGTGTTGACTGATGCATCAGAATTTCGCGGCAAGACAGAGCTTATCAATTGTGCCTTCAAGACAGCACTTTCATTCTCGTCTCCTCTCAGGTGCACATAAGAACACACACACACACATCCTTAGTTTTAAACTTCTTTCTGCGCAGAATCTGCATTGCGATAGAGATTTCAAATGTGGTGGCACCCAACAACATGAGACATACTGGGAAGTGTCAGGGAAAAGCTAGAATAGAGGACTGACCTTCGGGCCTGCACTTGAGGCTCTGGAATATATATTCAAATGTTTCGTACATGACCGATACAAGTGTAGAATTATGTGGCGTCAAGTTGAGGAAGTCGACGAGATAAGCACAAACTTCGAACGTCAATTAGTATCAGTATGGTTGGTTGAGAGAGAGGAGTTCGCCCAAGAATCAAACACAAACAAATCTCGTAGCCTCCTGTCCTCCTTTCTCTCAAACCAAAAATACTGATAGTGATGTAACGTGTGCACATTGTGTGCGAACTGGAGCGTAAGGCCGCTCTATGTAAGCCATAACCAATAATTACAGCCCTGAAATTTTGGCTCTAAAAAAAAAAAAAAAAAAAAAAAAAACTGATTCCTGCGATAATCGGCCTCGATAGCATCTTAGGGGCGGCCGATTGAATCCTCTGCTGTGCATATGGTCGCCATAACGTGAGCCTCTGAGGAAGAGGTCACGAGAATCGATATGGAGCTTCGATCACACCTGCCCTCGTAGAGAATTGTGTCGCAGAAACAACTATAAGGTCAATCGACTGAATCCGCCATTATGGGCCGTCGGATCTCAGATACCAATCGGATTCAATCTCAACCGCCGATTGGATTTCTGGGAACGGAGGGAGAGAACGTACGTAGGGGAACTAGGAGGGCGGCAGGTTGGGAACTCAGAACCCATTCCTGATTCGGCCCACACTAATCCTCATTCACATGGGTGCTAAAGTTTATTCATGAGCTGCCTCTCAATCCAAATTTTCAACCATCACTTTGCTTCAAAGAATTATTTTTTTGTTGTCATACTAAATAGGAGGTTCAAACATGGCCTTTCTGGGTGATATTTTACCCATGAAGTATCCTGTGATATTTTGAAATATTACTTGATACTTCACCAAAGCACCCACCTTGCAAGGTGGGTGATTTTGAAATCAAAATATCAAATGTTGAATCTAGTTATTTGGTTTTTGCAAAACGGCAATGTTTGAACCTCCTAACAGCACTCAATGTACATGATACTTTTGTTTCCAAAAAGAATTTTTGCAACTCAAAAAATTTACTCATTATCTTTTTCTCAAGCACAAATATTTTATGAATAAGGATTCATCATTGATTTTTTTTTTTGTACAAGATACAAATTAAATTTTTTTTACATTTTATTTTATTTTAATTTTTAATAATATTTTATTTACAGATACTCTATTGAAAAGATTGTAAAAATTAATTATTATATTTTAATAGAAAAATGAAAACTGATTTAATTATGTTTCTCTTTAAAATATTATTTTAGTATAGGATATTATATAGGATTCTTTTTTTAATTATTTGGCAAATCACATTAAACATTTTTTACAAACTTCATGTATAGACTAAAAGGTGAGCTCCCCCCGCATTCCCCCCTTGCTCCCTTGCCTGCATAACTAGGTTCTCTTGAGCTGTTTTGCCCGCCCCCCACAGTCCACTGGACGCTCTCCCGCATTTCAAATGGATTTTTTAACAACCAAGTTTGAATCTGTATATCTGACTGCTAACATGCCTCAAGCTTGTCGATTGAATTGAGAAGTTTCTACAGCACATATTGACAAGGATTACATGCAATAAGTTTATTTATTAATTTTTTGAAAATTGGGTAAATCAAATACAATAATTCAGTGGAAAATATTCAGTTTCTATTTGAAATAATTCTCCTCCCACGATAAATGACAATTATTTCAAAATTTCTTTGAGATTTGTGTAGATGTATATCAACACATATTTTATATAGAATAGAATAATAATAGTCTATTTTTGATATCATACTATTTTTCGTAAAAAATAATCATGATTCATCCTCGTCCTCCCCTCTCTTTACATAAATTCCTTCTACGCTACCATTAAAGCGTCCTTGAGTGTTGACATACTCCACTGAATAGTTTCTTTTATTTACTTTTTACTTATCTTTCGCTGGGGTATTCAAGCGGCTAATTCCATGAGGAATTCCTCAATAAGTTTAGAAATTCCAGTCGCTAAACGACAAGATGATAATAGAGGCTTGTCCTTAGTCCTATTGTGTGTTCAGTCCCAGGGGAACCGGTCCACTTACCAACTGTACCCTATTTGCTGACTGGGTCCACATGGGATCAGCTTTGATGAAGCAATGAAATCCTGTGGGGCTTGTCGATTATTCCTTGGACTAAGTCAAAGACACAGTCAGACGTGTAGACAAATCTACAAAGAAATAAACAAATAGAAGGGATTTAGGACAAAAAGGTTGCATTTCAAATTAAGGCATTTATGATTGGACCTATTCAATTTACATAAAAATTCAATTATAACATTCCAGTTATTAACGATCCAATAAATAAATAAAGGTAAGAAAGACAAAATATTATGAGTGGTTGCATACATTTTTTTAATAAAATGAAATTTGTTAAAGCTGCATACATGGATGACTTTATCTTAGAGAAAAATCTGAACAATCTTTCAAGACTTAACTATCAATGAATGAAGAAGCAATAATTATTTTTATAGAAATTAAATTTCAAGATAAAATAAAAATCATATCATGCATACATATATCTATGAATACATTTTTTTTCTTTTTCTTTTTCATATTACTGAATTAATTTAGTAACATCACTTGTTTTTTAACAAACATAATTTTGATAACCACAAAAATTTAAATAATTCTTTTTCAACTATTTTCTTGTATATTTAAAAAAGACATTTTATTTTCAATGTCTATTCTATCTCAAATAACAATTCATGTAGTAGATTATTGTAGAAATATAATTATAACTATTAAATGTTATGAAAAATAAATTACACATTTACAATGATAGAAATAACAATAAAAAATCACATATACACATACACTTTATGTACATGGTTCACTTCATCTAAAGCTACATCTATAGTAGAAATCTCTAGCTTACAACTTTACTAATGCTGAATCCAAGATACAATATGCTCTTGCCAAGCTTATTCTTGCACTACAAAAAAATTCCTATACATTAATGCCCAATTCTAAGTTCGTCCAAGACTATATTTTGTCAAGCCTTCAAATCAAAAAATCTTAAATATATTATATATTTTGGCATTCTTATTCACTTTTTATAAGTTATTTGTGCCACCAAAATATAAAGGAAATAAATTACAAACAATAATTTTTTTAATATACTCTTGTATTACTAAAAAAGAGTAGATATTTATTTAAATATAATATATTATTACAACTTATAATGACTATTGTCAAAAAAGACTAGAGACTCTTGAAATAAGACTAAGAATAAGAAAGGCATTGATAAGAATGAAGAAGACTTCACTCTTGCCTCTATATATATTATCTAACTAGGAATTATGTAATAATGTTCCATAGGACCTCTAACATGTGTCTAACTTGTACTACAAATCACTAACATATGTCACTTGTGGCCAATTTATTGACCAATTTTTTAACCTATTAATTAATTACAAATATGTATAAAGTCAAATTTTCATCTATAATACTTCTAAAAAGCTATATCATAAGATATCATCAAATATACCTACATTTATTTTCTACTTAATATTCTTTATTTAAGTAACTAAATATATCAGTGATATTATCTTACCTTTTAGGAATGAATTCCATGAGAAAGTCTAAGATGTAAGAAATTATATTTGCTGCATATTCTAATTTTTGTTTCCTTTGCAAATAGTTGATAAGTCATTTCAATAATTGTCTTATATAGCTTAAATAAAGATACACAGAATATGAAATAAATCTTTATAGACTTCAAAAAGTATAATCAATTAGACTGATTTATTTTCAAACAAGAAATAATCAAAGTCTATGTAAATTCAACTTATCACAATGATAACTACTCTTAATATTACAACAAAATAACCATATCTTATTACCAATATAGAATTGAGGTTATTCCTTACAATAGGTATCATCATTGATCTTTTTTCATTCTTGAGTTTCTTTTAATTATGTCTTTATTGTTGCATGTAACTTTGATAAATAATTTTTTACATCTTCTATTATAGAATTATCAACTTTTGAGAAGTCAAAAGTATCAAGTTGTTAACGATAATTATAATTTGCACAAAAAGATGTTTGTTAAGTAGAAGTATGTATTATGTTATTTTAAGTAAATTCTTCTAATAGAAAAAAAATTATTTAATCATCTTGATGGTAATTGATGATATATCTCAAATCTTATTTTAAAACACAATTCATCTATTTTTTTTGTCAATTAATTTGAGAATGAAAAGTTAAAAATACCTTTATATCCACATTCAATATTTTGGAAATAATTTTCTATAATTTTGATATAAATTGAGTCTTTCTATCTAATATAATATTTTTTAACAATCAATAATAGAAATAAATATTTTCAAGAAAAAATTTAGTTTTTTTTTTAATTTTTATCAATGATACTATTTATATATGATATAAAATGTGCTATTTTAATAAAATAATTTACTATGACAAATATAGAGCTACAAAAATTTGTAATTACAAGATCCATAATAAAATCTATAGAAATAGAAGATCATGGTTGTTTTGGTATAGATAATAGTTGAAGAAGTCTATAAGGTCCATAATAAGGACTTTTCAATCTTGAGCAAAAATCACATAATTGTATAAGACTTTAAATATCTTCCATATTTGAAGCTACTAAAATTTTTTTCATATAAACTCAAAGGTCTTGTTGTATTCAAAATTTCATATAGTTAAAATGTCGTAATGAGCTTAAAGAGTATGTAATTACACTTCATCTATTGGAAAATATAAGCATCTTTTGAAATAGACTAGATTTTTTTTAAACTCAAAATTAAAAGTATCAGAAGATTTACATAGATTATTCATAATATCATGAATAAGAGAAGCTCATAACATACTTTATTAGATTTATCTAAAAAGTTTGAATTAATAGTTAATATTGGTTTCATTGCTTGAATATAAAATTGCTTTAGCTTCAAAAGAATTATTTGTTGTATATCAAAAGTTTTATATCTTTTGACATAAGATAAGAATATCTAAAAAGAACATCTAATAAATCTTATTTTTTTATCATTAATAAGTGATCTTTAATTCAAATCTTGACAAAAATCTAAAATACATGTTAATATGAAATACTTGACATTCTTATGATTTGTTTACATATTAAACGGATTAGAAATGCCTTGTAGATAATAACACCATTCTAGAAATGAATCCACAATTGAAAGAAGTTTTGTGTCATAGATCTTATAATTAATCTTGCTTGCTTTAAAAAATTTGAATAAAAAGTTACTAGATGAATATTGTCATATAT